CATTTTTAAAAACGTACCAATAGATGGCCCACTCTGTAAAAACGTACCAATAGATGGCCCACCCTGTATAAATATCTTTATCCTCTCGAATTTTAAAATTTAAATATATTACTTTGAACAACGCGCAAGAAATGTATGCTCTACTGGAATACACCCATGAATGAGCTTTTTTCCTAACGATTTCCGTCGAGAGCGACAATAAAGCGTACTATTCGTCGTCGGAAATGAAACGCGACTTCCGGAAAAATCGCATGCGCGATGTGGCAAGCACATCAGTGGAAACGCGCTATTCACGCGTTTTTGCAATTAATTCGCACAGGGCGCGGTTTTCAATCGAAAAGTTTAACCGACTTGCACGCTCCGCGCTGTGGAATTAACGGGATCAACACTCGTGACGTTCGCCACGAATATGAGAAGGGAAGAGAGAGAAAGAGAGAGAGAGAGAGAGAGAGAGAGGGGGGGGGGGGGGGGGGGGGGGGGGGAGAGAGAGTGCTTCAAGTTTGACGATGTTAATTAAAACGCATATACCGGCCACGCGCGATAGCTGGTTCACGCGACGATGTATCATGTTTCATCGGACGGAGCTGTTGTTTGTACTCTCAATGTCCTTTTAACTAACAGGGCATTCGTTGAAAGAAAGGGGATGAAATTTGAAACAATGCATGGGCAAACGTACGATCGAACGAATAGTTCGGCATCGATTTATTTTCAAGCGGTCGCACGCTCACAAGTGACTTTCGCTTTTTCACGAAATTCGATATCCGGAGGTCGGTTTTATCTTAATTTTATCACGTCCATATGCTCTCTGACAGGAAATTACACACATGCGGATATATCACATGATACGACGCGTAAAGTAATCGTAAATGGGGAATCAACGGCAAATTATAAATATAATCTTCTTTTATCGAAAGAAATGTTGTCTTTATTACAGTAAATTTCAAATTACTCTGTCGTGTTTTTTCAAATGTTATGACTAAATTTTATAATTTTTATCAAAGTTAATACGCTTTTCATTATCACCTTTATCGTGGATATGACATTTAACTTGCAATTTTTATTTATACATCTCGTTATAATCGATATACTTTAAATTTTTGTTTCTGTCACATACATACACACACCACGCGCACACACACACACACACCCATCGAAGAAGAGATCCAGAGGCAACATTCAATTAATTAGGATCTATCATCCAGCGAGATTTCTATCATCTTTGATTGCTTTATATTTATTTAGCACTCGTACCTTATTTGCGAGCAAAAGTAAGATATCTTATGTCACTGATAATATAAAAAAGATACTTATTCTATCCGCTTTGCGCTAAGATCACTTACTTTTTCTTTTAAATTCCTTTCACTTTTATTTTATTTTATTTTACTTGTGTTTTATTTTTTGATTATTTCGGCATGTGTCGCTATGCATATAAATATAAAAAAATAATCTCGTGGTAAAAGGAGTAAATTCGCAATCCCTGTTCGTAATCCCTTTTTCCAAGTTTTCGTAATACGTAGCCTGCGGTTGCAGCGAATGAATAAAAGGATTAATGGGTTATTATTTTTCCTGCGCTTGTGGATTAATATCACCTCCCATATTCACGAGAGAATTAAAATTACAATTATTCAATGTAATGCAAGATCTCTCTGATTCAATTATGTAGAACGAATGGACAACACGAAATACGTCTTTTCAACATGAATAAATCTCAAAATGATGCGTTGTGCTATTTAAAGCTATTTTCTCAGATTCGAGTATCAACTTTTGGTATTTTTCCGAGTCAATACATCTGATTTAAAAAATGACATTGCACGTAATCAGACAGGATACTAGAGAAGAATAAAATTTAATTTGGAAATGTCATTTTATTCTTGTTAAATATTTAATTATTCCACGTATTTACTTATATTTGCATTATCTTGAGTCGTTATTTCACCGATTATATCTATTTCTCTTGTATCTGATTGCAATAAACATCAAAATTTTAGATAATTTTGTAAATTAATAACACCCAAGTGAGCAAGCTATAACAACGATAAGTATCACCAATAACAATCTCGTTGAACTAAAAAAAAGAAGGATAAATTACACATGAAAGTAATTCTTTTTCCGAATGGACAGAAAATAAAGGAACCTGGAGAATAACTGATTCTGTTTAATATTAAGTAGAACAGTTTCAGAATTAAAGGATCGTTTAGAATTTCAAGTCTTCTATCGATGCTATTCAACTGACAAAAACCTTTGCTTATTTCTTGAAGCCTAACGAGAATTAAAACAAAAATTGACAATGATAGTATGTCGCGAAGAACGATTTGTTTTTATTTCCTGTAATTTTACGGATCTGTCTGAAGGCGTGCAAAGTTGAAAAATAAAAAAATAAAGGAACGAGTCATCGAAGAATTCAGAAGACAGAAAACAGCATGAAAAATATATGTGAGTGACTTTCTTTTTTCTTTTCTCTAATAAATTATTTGTACTAAAGGAATTATTATATTAAATTATATATATTATTATCTATTAATACAACTTATCAATAAAGTTATTATAGTATATTTTATATTACTTTTTCAAGCAATTTAAGAATATTTTTCACTTTGAAAGTAAAGACAACAAAATAAAAAAATCTTGCAAATTAAAAAATACATTCGTGCGTTCTTTCCTTTCGTCACATTTTGACATAAACGTAATACAGCACTGTATGTAGTGTACTATATAATGCATCTTTCCCAAAAAAGAAGACCAAACCAGAGAGAAAATATCTGAAAATTTTATATTGGCGAATGGAGCCAATCGTTTTAAAAGACTCCTTATGCGGTTTCTCGATATAAAGTTTTGTCGGAGAAAAATGAGGTAGAAAGAACAAAGAGGAGAAGTAGGCGAGGAAAGAAATAAAAGGGTTTTACAAAGGAATGCCCAAGAGGGATTCTGTACAGCAAAGTGACAACTATATGCGCGCTTCGGCATTATGAGTTATCTAGCCTGCAGCAACATCTGCGCTTTTACACAAATTTCACCAACGAGTCGACGTATAACGTTACGTGCGATAGAAATATTTCCTACAAACCGATACATATTTCAAGTACTGTTATTTTGCCCGGGCAAAAGAAACGTATGTGACAGATAAATAATTAAAAGCTACATCAAAATATTTGAGAAAGAGAAAAATAAACTGAAATTTAAAAATAGATATTCAAAAAACGGAATTAAAGATGAAAAGTTGTGCACCGAAAGCTTGTAAAGCGAGTCTTACTTTATATACAACTATAATATATAAGGATCAAATTTGTTTACGACGGCTTTAATTTGTTTTAAAGACAGAGAAATTTCTCCAAATTTAAGAAAAGTCACGCAAAGAAAGAAGACAAAGAAATTTCTTTAAATTTAAGAATAGTCACGGAAAGGAAGAAGACAGCCTAGTTTATCCAATTGTCGATCGACGAGGGTATAATTTATATACCTTAAGGGAAAACTATTTCGAATAAAAACAAATTCGTTCGACGAGAGGAAGTAGAGGTTGCTCGTAAACCTCAAAACTTTCCACGAAACACAATTTTTCGCTTGCATTCGTGCTCATTCGTTTGATATATCTATCGTTTGCTAAGCGAGATGTTAAAAATATAATGAGCTTCGTGTAAAGCTTGTAATCCTCGAAATGGACGTTAAATGTTGCACGAGAAGAGGCTTTGTTTTCGAGTGAGAGCGGCTGTCGAGCCAGAAAGACAAATGCTTTTAAATTCGATCTTACTCGTAATTGAATCTCAGCTTTACTTTTAAGAGATGTGATATTTCTTGCGACTATATGCAGGGAGAGGTGTAAGCGAATGCAAATTTTACCAAGTGCCATATCAATCTCGCTTGGACAATTTTGCATGAAGCTCGAGATAAGTATAATCTGCAAGCGCGCGCGTAATCAGATTCCTTTTTTTAATCCTCGAAAGTGCCGCGCATATCGCACGTTCATTACTGAAGAGAACGTTCTTATCAGGAAACAAGGATTAACCTTGCTTGGAGAAGCAAAATTGTCTCACCAATTTTTAATCACGGGCATAAACGAGAATGATACAAGATAAAGAAAAAGTTTTGCTTGACACACTTCCCTATACTGTTCACATAATGATGTATATACAGTATATATTTTTACTCTACCGTTACGGCCAGTTTTTATGCTGAATGCTCTTCTTTTCGCATATATATATATATATAAAGCACACAGTTATTTTAATCAAGTATTAACAATGATTTCTCAACAATGTATTTATTGTATTATATTATTAATTCTGTATAAAATAATAACAATGGTATTAATAAAAATGCAACTGTTTTAACGTTTAGGAACTATAGGGAAAATAATTATTTCATTATTTTACTTTGCAACATTACATAACATATTGATTAAATTTCCAACTACAATTTCTTTAAAATAAAATATAAGATATAATTATTTACTTTTTCTATATTTAACAACTCTAAAAATTTTTTAATTATCACAACATCATTAATACTATGAGAACTGCAATTCAAAGCTTGAAATAAAGGAACGTATAAAAATTTCTCGATACTCTATATATTTTGTTTGCGACCATCTTTTTTTTTTAACAAATACAAATTTTATTATAGGATCGAAATTAATCAAATTCAAATCACAATGTAAATCACAATGAGAAAGCAAAGTATACTTTTTTCTATCTATGACGATCGTATTCCGCTACGTGTGTTTTACGATCGTATTCGCGTGAATGAGACAAAGTATTAAAACTATTACTTGTAAATGAATGTATTACGATTCTTCTAATGCGCTGCGCTGACCGCTTTGCAAAATAAGTTCAAAAAATTTGATTATTACAACTTACCATTCAGCTTAACAATGATCGCTCCTTACTCTTGCTTTTCGCGTTTTCGACGGCGATTCTCGAATTCCCATGGCGGTTTGCGGAACATAACATCGCACTGCTAAAATAGAAAAAAACCTGTTCGCACAATGTTCACGCGGAGTTTCATAAAATCGCGCCTAGAGAAGCGCCGATTATTTTAAACGATCCCGTTGATTTGTTTATAATAATAAGAAATCAATGTTCCATCGATCCATTGCCATAATATTTTTACACCATCGTTTCGTGTATACATAATATTATTTAATTATGATAGATCAATGTCGCTCTGCGCGTTACACTGTGCGTCTCGCATTAATTTTGTTTAACAGTAAGACAAGAGAGACAAGCAGTTTCTAGTTTGTCTATAATATCACTTATCACAAATAATGTCTCATTATGATCGACATGCTCACAGTATAATGTCTGGAACACTCGTATCACTGGCATCCGATATGGTCTGACTATGATTGACCCATATCACTTACGATTCATAAAGATTGACTATAATCAACTTATATATTGCTTACGTCCGATATATTGATAGATAAGTCGAAGAAAACGACTCGCAATTGGACTGCTTCCGAAACGGAACAATATCGAGTACATGCTTCTTTCGTTTTGCGAAATACACACTGCAAATTTATTCGATATTATTTATTCATTATCTCATTTCTTTGTTACTGTTTTGTCAAAATCATGCTTTAAAAATATGAAAAATCATCGTGATAAATTGATCGCGACGGCATCGCTGATTATTCCGCACTGATTGGCATTCGCGATTTACTTAATGGTCCGCATCCGTTCTCAATCTATCGCGGTGACGGGCATCATTGGAAGAACTCTTGAATTGAAACACGATGACCACATCGAATCACGTCCGCTCTTTACCCTGAGGGGTTGTTCCAAAGCGTCCCTTATGAAAAATGAATGCTCGACGTTGGACATATACGGAGATGATTAATTTTAAGCGAACGGAATATAAGAATTTAATAAATCATAAATAAAATAAATGATGCGAGTAATTTGTCAATTAAGGAATACTTTAAATTTAAAAAAAAATTCAAAAATTGAAAAACACTAGTGGAAAACAAAAGAGTCGTTTACAGACCGCATATCTTTTCTTATCATTCTCATTACGTTAATCGCTGATTCCATCATAATTCGGCGAGCTATTATATGCAACCGACAAACGATTTTAAAGATTATGACAATTTAATTATCTTTAAATTATCTCTGTTGCCCGAGTAGTATGGAAAGTTTCTATTTAGTGAATTAAATGTGTCACATTACTCACTCTGTTCCAAATTTAAGTTCCATCTCGTCTTATTTTCCAAGAATCATAAGCGACAGCTATTCCAATATTCCAATATAAAGTAGGAAGAATTTAATGCCATTGCGAAAGAGTCATTATCGGTACGAGAAATTCGTCAGCAAAGAACAAAGCCGCATGTCATACTGTAAAACCTCCACTATGTTTTCAATTAAAGAGGCTTCATTGATAATCGTCGATCGTAGACTGCACACTTTCTCGTTATAAATGTCATACTAAATGCCATCCCGATCGTATACGCGGGCTCTATCGAACTTGACTCTATGGACGTCGACGAGTGTCCTCGTTCGTGGCCGTCTATTCACGCGAGAGAGAATCCTTCTTCTAGCCGCAGATACACTCTGCAGTAAAATCCAACAAATGTTTCGATAAAACTATCCGTAACTTTTCACGTTTAAAACAAGCCTCATATCTCAACACTGAGATACGTTCAAACTTGGAGCTGGCGGATATCGAGCCGACACCGAGACCGAACTGTCGGTGGTGAACGACGAATAGAGCGCGATTCGACGCTCGGTGACAACGAGATCGATGAGATTCTTTAGTTTAGATCGAGATCTCGCGGCCGCGGTGCTTGAGGCGTTTGAGCTTCGATCGAACAGACAAAGCGAGATGAGGTCGGGAAATGCGAGATAAATGTTGAGCGAAATATGAGCAGGCCGAGCCGAATGACGACAGTGAACGAGGAGCGTACGCCGGCTTTTACGTACGGACGCACCCCCGTAGTGGCAGCAGGGCGCAGGATCGCTCTCCAATGTCTCCGGGGGTGGCTGTGGCGCATGTGCGGTAAATGTACAACAGGAACGCTGCATGCGAAAGCGCGTAGTCGCAGCCCCGTTCCATCGCGACCTGATCCCCCCCCCATCTCTCTCTCTCTCTCTCTTCTGATCCTTTTTTTCCTCTTTCCTTCTTTACTGCCATGCCGCCCTAGGCTTCTTTATCCCTTCTCCCTCTTTCATCTTTATAAATGCTTTCTTCGCCTCTATTACATACGCACTGTGATGCACTTTTTATTTTCCGAGATTACGTTAATAATGACGAGAATTCATATTGATTTCGCGCGATCGAAGAAACTTGGTTAAAGTTTTCCCTTTCCCATCATTTTTCTCGTTTTCTTGTTCGCGAATCTTTTTGTTGCGCAATTCGAAGCTCGCGCGAAACGACGACCGTCAAAAGCGCATCAATTTCCTGTCTTCAAGTACGCGATCATGCACTGTGATATATCATATGATGAGATATGCTAGACATAGATAAAATAAACTAGTAGCATTTTTGGCAAAATTCTGATTTTTCAAAAAGATTTACATTAACGCTCTGTTTACGTTCCTCTCTTTTCTGAATATATGTACGAGTATATCGTAAAAATAATTCACATTGTAATATATATAGCAAAGTATATAAATATAAAATAAGTTATAATTAAGTTTGCAATTGAGTTTTTGTTAAGTCATCAGTTACTCGTTATATTTTATTTTCTCATGATTTAAAATGTTCACAAGAATAAGCTTAAGTTGATGCAAAACGCAAAGAAATCAATAGTTGATAAACGGGTCAACCGTTTTTTGTACTAGATCCGTTTATATGGCGACCTGCATTATGTACTTATTTCTTACAATTGTAATATACAAAATGATTGAAATATTTTTTTTAGTCGATGATGTCCACTTTCATCTTGTTGAAAGTGGACATTAATATGAAATGGGAATGTTTCAAATCAATTAATATTTATATTCTATCTCGATAAGAGATACCTACTTGATATTTTCCTTACAATTATAAATACAATTAGTTACTTTTGCAAACGCTCGATAGCTTCTATATTGTCGTGGATATCTTCAGATATCGTAATCGCGTTTCACATTGCACGTGTGTGTGTGTGTGTGTGTAATATATATATATCGATATATCTATTTCGCACGATGACGTCTGATCTTTCTCTTTCTCTCTATTCTCGTGTCGACAGAATGCTCGCTTCGTCAAATGATCCGATAATCGGATAACGAAAAATTCCAACATGCAATTTTAGAAATGGTAAAATGTTTATCGAAAAGAAAGATTTCGTAAAATTGTATTGTTTCGAAGAGTGTAAAACTGATTTTTGATACTTATAATGTGATACTTTGAACAACTATTTAACCGATGAAATAGTACAACGTTAATTTTTTCTTCATAAAACTTTTAACTTTTAAAGGAAAACCTTGGAGTTTCGAAGGAGAGTAAATGGATAACCCACGTTTTCCTTGCGACATGGAATAGTCATATAGAATTTATAGTTTACGATTTTTGTCTTGTTGCTCTTACTGTAATGCAATACTTCTACTCAATCGTTCGTTCACTCACGCCCCTACGCCTCGCGAAATATTTGAAGGAGAATTCAAAAAGAGCAGAGAGAGAACATCAAAGATACAGCTACATGATACAAACGATTGCTCTTTGCTCGTACGGATCGCATCTAGCACAAGCAATCTTTTTTTTTTATAAGAAATGATTTTCAGTGAAAAATGTCTCGTAAATATGTGTACCTATTTCTTAGCATTAAAGTGCAGGAAGAATTTTAGGAAAATTAAATTAAATCTTTCTTGTGAAGACTAAAAATCCTATCATCCTATCATCATAAATCATCATAAAATTAGATTATTGAATGATTGAGAATGGAAATATTTATTAACTTACCAATTAAAGTAGTGGTGGTGCAGAATCACGATGAAAACTCGTTCGTCATCTTTCACATCTGAAGATGTACTTGACGATGCGCACTAGGTTGCGTATCTTCGCGATCACCTCCTCTTGCATGAGATTAAAACACATAGCGATCAGTGCCATTCCTGAAAATACAAAAATATACATTACAAGTGATTCGATGTCTCTGTAAAGTCTATATCGAATATTAGATTAGAGCGTGATTTTAAGCATCGCGGATATTATTGCGCTAATTGTTGCGTAAATTGAGAGCGCCGTTCGCGCGTATGGAAGCGGTCGAAACATTTGAAAGCACTTGAATATTTTCCAAGAAAAATCTGCCCAGCAATCGGATATTGATTGAAACGAACTTAATGCGCTCGCAGCATAGAAAGCTGTACTGCAACGAATAAAATCACGTTGCAGGATTAAAAGCGGTTGATCCCTTTTAAAACGATTGTCTTCGCATCATAGCGTTGAGCGTCAAAAATTCTGTGACAATCGGATTATACTTCTTAAAAAATGAAGTATCTATTTTTTATTCTAATTTTACTAGCGATTAAAATATATGATTAAATCATATCCATTCAGTCTGTAACATGATAATAATATTAATAGAATAGAATTTATTACACTTCAGCGTACAGCCAAGAAGGGGACTTGGTTTACATAATTCCTTATCTCATTCATTCCTCTATACCTCGCCCACATGCTATCACACATCTATACATATATATATTTTATATATTCTTATGTAATTATAATATATTACATCTATCTCTTTACTTTCCTACTTTTCTGATTAAACCCTCTTACTTCTATTCTTTACCTACTTTATTTCTTTTCACTTTATCCATTTTCATCTTAGAGTTATATCCGATTCTAATGCTATGATAATAATATTAATAATGAATATCGTCTTATTTATAAAGGAACGTTTAATTATTAGCAGTTAAGAGGATTTTCTTGAAGGAAGCTCTAAAATGGACTCTTACATAAAAATAATAAGAGGTGTAGATTATCGTATATGTATATGTAAAACTTACCAAGCATTAGGTACATTGAACACATGACAAAAGATAAATCAAAGGCATGTCCGGAATAGATTTTCTCGCCAGGAACAATATCGCCGAAACCTATGGTCGATAAAGAAACGAAGCAAAAATAAGAACCATCCAGCATATCCCAAGATTCCCATGTCGAAAACAGAAATGCACCGCCCCAAATATACCTATCGGGTAAAAAGTAAAGGAAAGTGCTGTCAATTCCAGACAATTTTTCAAGAGGTTCTTTTAAATTTTTGAAAGTAAGTGACATCAAGTTTAATGCAATGTTAGACTTGCATTAAACTTGATGACTGATCGAACTGAAAATAAACATCAATATATACTCCAAGTACATCACGTCCGAAAATTATACTCTGTAATTTTACCTTAATAGAATTTTGATTTGAATAGAAAAGAATTTGACAATCTTGAAATTAATTTTCAATTAAACACTTGTAACTTTTCAAATTAAATAATACCAGAGAATTGTAAAAATATTTATTTCATATTAATTATTAAAAAGTAATGTTACACCATATCGTTCGAGTTATCATTTTACTAAAAAACTTTAAGTATCTAAAAAACTCTTTTTATATCAAGAGAATTTTTATTATTTTTTAAAAATTTATTTATCTGTTATATCTTCTTTAAAAGTGAATCCTTTAATTAACCCTATTTCTCTTTATTATCTCTCTCGTCAGATACTCACCCCACCATAATAGCAAGACAGAGAGTTAACGGCACCGTGACGTGCTGAGGATCGTAGCTGTCACTCTCGTCGTCATCGTCTTCGTCATCGCCGTCGCTTCCGTTAACTTCTCCGTTGTCCTCGTCTCTAGGTAAAGTTTCTTCTACATTCAAGCTTGACGTATCTATCTCCTCGCCATACGTGCTTACAATCTACAGACAAATTTTCTTTGAATATTCCCTACTTGATATCCCGAACATACCAGAATTCGCTTGTAACAATAAGGCATTGATGTCTTTGATATTGAAAAAATTTTGCTTTATCTCGATTAGTTTTAGAGAGATTTCGAATGTATAATAGAAATAATTCTGAGAGATTCTGTGTGAAAGCCTTATTTTCTCTTGCATCACGATGCTACTTTGTTATAATGGAATTGAATTGTAATTCTGGTTGCAACGGTGTCGCTTACCTGCGGCCACCGATCTCTTTTCGCAGCAGTATCATTCGATATCTCCGACGCTCTCGCACTTGCCGCATCGTATGGTCTTCTTCGGCACCTTGAAAAATCGATCGAGATTAATTCGACGATGACGATTTAAAATCTGATTTTCGCTATCGAAAAAGGTAAATACTGAAAAGATGAATAGGAATGTAACATATGATACTACAGAAAAGATCAATAGGAACGCGACACATTTTTGCGACGAGCAGAACGGTCTTACTTGCACAAGCAACAGCGGGCGTAGGTCCACTTGAAGCTTCTGGCCAGAATGTCACCGATATTGCTGAGGTAGAGAAGGAAAAGCGGCATCCCTATTATTGCGTACACTATAGTTGCGACTTTGCCCCATTTCGTCTTGGGACAAATGTTGCCGTAACCTGCGCAGTTAAACGAGAACACGGCAAGTGAGTTTATCGACAAGCCTCGTTGCTTTGCTTCGGTTCTCTCCGCTTCGGTCATTTCTTGCTTTATACCATTCTACAACTATCCGTGAGCTGATTCATTTATTATTAATTTATTGCCCGCGGTGTTCTGATAGAAACTCATATAATATCATATTGTTCGAATTATTAATTACGCAAACACACGTGATTAAAATATTTATTCCAAAGAAAAAGAAAGAATATACCGAACGTCTGAATTCACTTTCATGATTAAAACAAGAATCTTTTAATGTACGGATTCTGTTCATTTAAAATATTGTTATGTTCTAAGGACAATTTATTTGTATATTTAGACAAAAAAGGTAATTTATATCTCGATACATTTTTAA